CCCACCCTCCTGGACGAGTTGCCCGCAGTCCCATCCTGCTCCCCACTGGTGTCCTGTGGCTGTGCATTCTGGCCCAGGCTCCAAGCCCCATGCACTGCCTGTCTGAGTGGCAGCCCTGACCCCAGCCTTACCCAACTCTCTTCCTCTCTCCTTCCTTATGGGAGCCTCAATTTCCCTCCCCCCCTCCCCCACCCCAACTTACCTGTGGCAGCTGCTCTCCAGGCTGCCTGGTGGCCATGTGCGTGTATATGTGCACACATGCTTATGGCACCCCTGCCTGAGCTACCTCCTCCCACTCCCCCCAGCCCCTTGCAAGTTGGAACTCTGCCAACCTGCAGAGAGCTCTTTGCAAAAATGGAAAAGTCTATGTTTCTTCATTAAAATGAGCAATCCATGCTTCTCCATTAAAAATGAAAAATCTGTATTTCTCAATTAAAAAGGAAAATCTACGTGTGTGTGTGTGTGTCCCAATTTTCTATGGTAAGCAGAAACATGAACACCAGGGATTCAGGTTAATTCTCCTTGTTTCCATCTGTCAGGTTTCATTAAAAGACTGCTAAAAGTTCCTAAAATACTTGTTTTCTGTGGGAGGAGACATGGTCCACATGCTTGTGGGTTGGATGGGAGGTATCCATGGAACAATCTCACTTTTAAGTTGTGATCAGTGCTATGAAAAAGCTTAAGATATCCGGAATTAGAGAATTTCAGTCCACATATTGATAGCAGTTGCATGAGTTTTTCTGGCAAATTAGTGCATGGTTTTAAGTAATCTCTTTTTTTCCCTTTTGATCATGATATATGGATGAATAAAAACAAGGGATGGGTTTTGAAGCAGCAGGCTGCAACTTTAACAACAAGGTGGAATGAGGTCATGACTCTTCAAGCCATACAACCAGTAAATCAGAGCTGGCCTTCTCCAGTCCAACGTCTTGGACTCTTGGGGTGCAGACAGATATAGCAATTGAAGTGTTCCAAGAATGTCACTGATTTGGAGCCAGTTCACAATTTCCCCTGGGCAGAAGTGTCCACAAGTACACGGCTAAGGTTCTAAGTCGAATCCTCACCTTTTGGAGATTGCACAGCTGTCAAAATGCCACCAGGGGAGGTAGAGTACTCATACCATTGTGCCTTCCAGGACGCAGTGCTACAGTTTCCTGAGGATTTCCCTAAATGGGGAGGAAGACCTAGATTGGTTGGACCTCACCCGCAGTTGAAATTTTTTGCTTCCTCGTCTCAAACCATTGAGTTAAAAAGACTGAATTGAATAAAGAACACTTTGTGGTTGACTGGGGGTGCACAGGTGTATCTTGGGTGAATAGCTTAGACCCCAATACAGATAATGGACCCAACTTGGTGGGTACCAGGCTCATTTAGGCCAGGAGTGTGGTGGAGGGTGGAAGGGCTACCAGGTACTTGTGGGGGGATAGGGGTGGCACTCTGATGCCCTTTTCCTGGTTCCCAGGGGGCTACAGACTCTGAGGGCCTCCATGAACTCTGTGGCTTTTCCTTACCTGTCCTGAAAGCTAGTTTGTCAATTTCACCTTTCTGCTGTGGCCCCTGCAACTGCGAGTCCCAGGCTCATTTGAGGTGGGGAGATGGGTATGTGGAAGGCATGGAGAGGTTGCTGATTGCTGTGGGGGGCTGTGACTCCCTGTATGTGTTGCCCAGGGGTTTGGGTTCTCCTCAGGCTCTTCAAGATCTCTACTGTTTTGCTTTTTGCAAGACTTGCATTGGAATCATTTTGTCAATGTCACTTTCCTGCACAGGGTTTGTGCTGTGGGTCCCAGGCTCTATTGGGTAGGGGGTGTGAGTGGAGGGGTTGCCAGGTTGGGGGCGGGGGCAGACTTCCCTCTGCATGTAGAGCTGGGGGGGGGGGGGGAGCGGGGCCGGG